CTATAGTGCTATGTCCATGGCTCACACTCATTTATTGCGTGAAGATTGAAAAAGTTTGAGAACACCAAAAGTATGAAACAATTGCTTGGTTTGTCATCGGGGTTGTGCATGATTTAAATATTTAGTGTGGTGAAGATGGAGCATAGCCAGACTATATGATTTTGTAGGGATAGCTTTCTTTGGCCATGTTATTTTGAGAAGACATGATTACTTGGTTAGTATGCTTGAAGTATTATTATTTTTATGTCAATATTGAACTTTTGTCTTGAATCTTATGGATCTGAATATTCTTGCCACAATAAAGAATTACATGGATAAATATGTTAGGTAGCATTCCACATCAAAAATTCTGTTTTTATCATTTACCTACTCGAGGACGAGCAGGAATTAAGCTTGGGGATGCTGATACGTCTCCAACGTATCTATAATTTTTTTACCGTTCCATGCTATTATATTATCAACCTTGGATGTTTTATATGCTATTTTATATGATTTTTGGGACTAACCTGTTAACCCAGAGCCCAGTGACAGTTTCTGTTTTTTCCTTGTTTTAGAATATCGCAGAAAAGGAAAATCAAACGGAGTCCAATTGACCTGAAACTTCACGGAACTTATTCTTGGATCAGAAGAAGCCCAGAAGACTTGGAGTGCACATCAGGGGATCAACGAGGAAGCCACGAGGCAGGGGGACGCGCCCACCCCCCTGGGCGCGCCCTCCACCCTCGTGGGCCCCTTGTGGCCCCCTAATGTACCTCTTCTGCCTATATATCTCCATATACCCTAAAAACATCCGGGAGCACAATAGATCGGGACTTCCGCCGCCAGAAGCCCCTGTAGCCATCGAAAACCAATCTAGACCCGTTCCGGCACCCTGCCTGAGGGGGGAATCCCTCTCCGGTGGCCATCTTCATCATCCCGGTGCTCTTCATGACGAGGAGGGAGTAGTTCTCCCTCGGGGCTGAGGGTATGTACCAGTAGCTATGTGTTTGATCTCTCTCTCGTGTTCTTGAGGTGGTACGATCTTGATGTATCGCGAGCTTTGCTATTATATTTGGATCCTATGATGTTTCTTCCCCCCTCTACTCTCTTGTAATGGATTGAGTTTCCCCTTTGAAGTTATCTTATCGGATTGAGTCTTTAAAGATTTGAGAACACTTGATGTATGTCTTGCCGTTCGTATCTGTGGTGACAATGGGATATCACGTGATTCACTTGATGTATGTTTTGGTGATCAACTTGCGGGTTCCGCCCATGAACCTATGCATAGGGGTTGGCACATGTTTTCGTCGTGATTCTCCGGTAGAAACTTTGGGGCACTCTTTGAGGTTCTATGTGTTGGTTGAATAGATGAATCTGAGATTGTGTGATGCATATCGTATAATCATACCCACGGATACTTGAGGTTACATTGGAGTATCTAGGTGACATTAGGGTTTTGGTTGATTTGTGTCTTAAGGTGTTATTCTAGTACGAACTCTAGGGCTGTTTGTGACACTTATAGGAATAGCCCAACGGATTGATTGGAAAGAATAACTTTGAGGTGGTTTCGTACCCTACCATAATCTCTTCGTTCGTTCTCCGCTATTAGTGACTTTGGAGTGACTCTTTGTTGCATGCTGAGGGATAGTTATGTGATCCAATTATGCTATTATTGTTGAGAGAACTTGCACTAGTGAAAGTATGAACCCTAGGCCTTGTTTCCTATCATTGCAATACCGTTTGTGCTCACTTTTATCATTAGTTACCTTGCTGTTTTTATATTTTCAGATTACAAAAACCTTTATCTACCATCCATATACCACTTGTATCAGCATCTCTTCACCGAACTAGTGCACATATACAATTTACCATTGTATTGGGTGTTTGGGGACACAAGAGACTCTTTGTTATTTGGTTGCAGGGTTGCTTGAGAGAGACCATCTTCATCCTACGTCTCCTACGGATTGATAAACCTTAGGTCATTCACTTGAGGGAAATTTGCTACTGTCCTACAAACCTCTGCACTTGGAGGCCCAACAATGTCTACAAGAAGAAGGTTGTGTAGTAGACATCACATGCTGCCAGCTCGCTTGGAGGAAGGATCACAAGGCGAACGCTCGGCAGTGATAACAGCTCAATGTCGCTTGAGCTCTAAATAACATTTCTACTATCTTCATAGCTTTTAGAGAATAATAAACCCCAATAGAATGACATGGGTGCCGTCGCAGTTTTCACATTTGTTTATCCTACTGTGACTTTGTTTTGATTGCCAATGAATGGAGATGGCAGTTTTCTTGAAATAGCATAGTCATGGTTGTTCATTGCAATCTCTCGAGGCTGCTTGATTCAAGTATATTAATTACTGACCATAAGAATACAAATTGGCTTAAAACATTGTGTATTTTCTGGTGGTAACTGAATTTTTTTATTAAAAAAGGTTTTGTACGTACACATACATAATTTTATTTTGACCTAGGGAGAACCGGAGAATATCTACACAAATCTGACATTCTGAGCTTCATCTACTCTCATCCGGGTTTATGACTAGATGCCAAAGCCTCGATGGGTGATCTCGATGACCAGTTGCGTCACTGCCCGTGGGTACTACCAATACTCATAGTCCGTCGTGCATGGGTGCAACCAGATCATTCTCGTAGACATCTAAATCACTGGGTGCCCTCCAACTGTTCAATCTCTATTGTATTGTGTTTTCTAGTTGAAAAAGAAAATCAACATGCACAAGGATTTTTTTTCTCTGGTGGGAGAAGTGAATCGACACAATTTGAGATCATCGGGTTCATGCATTTCTTCTACGTATTGTTGGAACTTTGTGTCCTTTCTTGTTCTCTTTTCTGTTTGGTGAAATGAGTGAAACATGTGTTCCATGGTCAACAAACATGTTATGGTAAACGGTATGTAAACCAGTGTGTGGATGTGTGCTCTCGGTACGCCATGCAGGTGGCTCGATGATGGCCCCGGTTCTAGATGGTGGGGCATTGCCATGGCATCCCCCATTGCCGAGTTTGTAGGTGTTGAGTGATGGCTTCAGGTTGTTGATGTAAATCTTTGCCTGACATTTGTTGAATAATTTAATAAAGATGGTTGTGTTCATCTTTTGATGTAGAGGCCGAGGCTTTCAACCTCCTTTACTAAAAAAAGGTAAGCCGGTGTGTGCTAGCTACTGGGTACGTGGGTTCCTACCACCATCCTTCACTGCTTCACATGCCATGAAATAACCGACATACTAGTGGTTGGCTAGTTGGTGCTTATGGTGTACCCAGTCTGTAATGGTAATGTATATATGTATTGCGCATATGATGGAACTGACATGCATTTCTGATGTGCAGATGTACACTATAGGACTTGTGTTTAACAGATAGGACGCAATACTGATGACTGAATTGTGACTGTTGAGCTCTTCCAAGTAGTTTGAGACTCCTTTCAGAAGTACTTAAGTATTAATGAAGAGCTATTGCGAAATATTAATTAAATTTTTCCTACTCTAGTAGGCAGTGGCGTGCATACACCATTAGTGTGCAAGATAGCAGGTCTCATGTGTTCACATGCAGTATTGGTTACTTTACTGGGAAGCTCATGATATATGAGGATGTAGCCCTGATTTCCTCGTCACTCCTCATCCCCATCCATAGAAGAGACAGTAGCTAGCCGAAATAGAGGACAAAGAGCAAGCTTGAGGAGGATAACTCAAGTTCCAAATCTTGTTGATAGGAATGGGAGAAATCGGAAACATAAGCTGGTTGTGTTCAATGTATGTGTACATGGTTCTTGACCAAGTGGTGTTGGCTTGAGAAAATGAAGGACGGCAAGCCATTAGCTGGGGCTGTAGATTCAGTTGCAACGGTTTGTTCAGTGCTAGTTCCATAAGGTGCATGTTAGGGGACGAACAATGTCCTCTTTTCTGGACTGGCTGATTGTTGGGAGGGAGTAGCGTGGCACGTACTATGCCTCATATGTTCCAGTTGGTGCGAGTGCTAGGCGACGGCAAGTGGCGGATGCCTTACCTACTGACTGGTGTGTCATATTAGTGGCACTCTTTCGGCACCGGTTATCATTGTACTCCTTATGTTGTGGCCTACACTACAACCGGAGCAGGTTCTTTCTTAGATTATCAGATACATCGGACATGTTCTGATACCAGGTATCTTCAGATGGCAGATTTTTGGCTCGAACTGCATGCCTTTCTTCTTTGGTCGTGAGTTTGCTCCTTTGCGCAAAGGAATTGTAGACCTCTTAAGTGTGTCCAGAGATAATATAAAATTGCTTGGTTGGCGCTGCTGTCGAATTGTCAGTGGACTGCAAATCGCCTTGCTCGTTGCCAGATGCAACACCCGCCTTGATGTGTCCTTTGTTGTCTGCCTATCCCTTTAAGGGCATTATAGCAGAATTCTCCATGTGGATGTTAGCGAGCTCTCATAGGTTTGTGGTCAGTGTTAGTTAAGTTGTAGTGTTGTGGAACGTTGGCATGTTGTTTCAAACCTTGTGGTTCCATTATCTCTCTGATAGTGGAACCCAACCCTGTATGGGTTTGTAAGGAAAAAAATTGTAGTGATATGTGTGTCCAACAATTTAGACATCAAAAATTCTCCTCAAGGTTGATGCCAGAGCCTCGATGGTTGATCTCAATGAGAAGTTGCACCAATGGTGGTGGATACTACCATCACTCATACTCTGTCGTTTGTGGGTGTGATAGATCATTCCCGTGGAAGTCTACATTGCAGGATGCCCTCCAACCGTTGAAGTTTTTTTTTTGAGGGAACCGTTGAAGTTGTAGTGTGTGCATTATCCAGTTGCAAAAGAAGACTAACATGCACAGTGATTTCCTTCACTGGTCGGAAAAGTGAATCAACACTTCTGTCAACACATTTTGTTTGGAATTGTGTGTAACAAATAGGTCAAAGACCGCTAATAAACTAAGAGTTGTGGCCGCCGAGCTCTTCGATCTTTATTTCAGTAGTCTAACAATATTTCGAAAACTACTTGAAATACCATGAAGTACAAAATTAAATTTTGCCTACTTGGGTAGGCAGCATCAATGTGTGTTTATGATATAGCATCAATAGTTGCTTATTATATATTGGGTGAGGTAGCCCGAGAGGATACCGGGTCTCATGGTATGGCATGTACTCCCTCCGTTCCGAAATATAGGTCGTTGGGGCTTCTGTCCCGACCAGGTGAAAACGTGACAATTGACCTGAATACCCCTCGTTCAAAATTTGAATCCCCGATCGATCATCTTCCACCTTCGCTTCCGCCCTCCACCTCCACCTCCGCCTCCGCCTCCGCCCTCCACCTCCACCCTCACCTCTGCCCGACACCTCCACCTCCACCTCCAGCTCCACCTCCACCTCCATCTCCACCTCCACCTCCACCTCCACCTCCACCTCCGCCCTCCACCTCCTCTGCCCCCTGCCCCCTGCCCAGGCGCTACCGCCGCTGGAGTAGAGCTGGTACTCTGCTGCCACCCACGCACAGGGGCTCCTCCTGGCCCGCGCCCAGGTGGAGGCGAGCACAGGTTGTTCCTCCACCTCCACCTCCGTACCCACCTCCGGCCACTACATCCAGGCGCAGGCGCTCCTCCTCTCCCACGTCCAGGGGCTGCTGCTGGGCTCGGCTGCTGCTGGGCAGGTTCATCTCCTCTCTCTGATCATTTGATCCTCTGCTGGAGTACATCTCTCTGCTGTCGCTGGAAACAAACTGCAAGCATAAACAAAACTCAAGTGATTCAAGAGATGTACTGATTCAAGTGTAGTCAAGAGTATAACTGAATTTGGTAGAATAATTCAGAGAAACCACTAAGTTTGAACTAATAATTTGATTCAAGTGATAGAGTACTGATGGAGTAAGTAATTTGAACAAAAGGACTAGCAAATCATAACCGTGGCATTTCAGATAATAGGAGTAGCAGATCATAAACTGTAGCAAATTTTGTCAGTAAACTGAATACTCCCAGCAAATTTTGTTATGCACTGGAGTTCCCAGCAAATTTTGTTTGCCTAACTGGATCCGAGCAGTGACTGTGATAACAAGTCTCCTTGAACCTGATAGTAGTCAGTGTGGAGCTCTTGTCAACAAACTCCCTGATACAAACATCACCATCCAACCAATCATGGCAGCCAGGCAGGCAAAGTAACCCAAAATAAGCTATTGTACCTATGTAGCTACACTGAAGTGAAGCGAGCTGATCATAGTGGTAGGTAGCAGTACCTTTGCGTTGAAGGTGTATCGCTCGATGCCCTTCCAGTTGTCGACGTCGTAGGCAGTGTAGTGCTTGCAGCATGCGGCGACCTTGAGCGCGCCGTCGGTGACGCCGCCGGCGCCGGCGTCCTGGAGCCCGTGATGTATCCGACGGCGTACTTGCTGGCCAGCAGCGGGTCCTCGCCGGGCGTCTCCTGGCCCCGGCCCCACCGCGGGTCCCGGAAGATGTTGATGTTGGGGCTCCAGAAGGTCAACCCTGCCAACCCCACATTGTGCATCGCCCGCGCCTCCGTCGACACCACCTGCACGCACCAGGAAAAACCTTCAGAAATTTTCAACAATGTCGACGACCCATGCTGCCATGCACGCACAGGTCGGCATGGCGCACTGAAGTGGTGGCAGCTGGGCGTTGGTCCAGGCAAGCAGTGGATGATGATATTGAGATGGTAGGTGCAACCGAATGGAGGAAAAAAGAGTAATGTCGGCCTATCTGGCATCAAAACGGCATAAAAAACCAGGCATCTGCTACAGAACCAGCATCTCCTACAAGCATGCTGAAACGGCCTATCTAGGAACTTTGAACCTGATAGAGGTCTTGCTGACATGCTCTTTGAATATCTTAAGCGTATGAATACCTTGATCAAGGTTGATCTGAATTGTCGACAAAAACGAGCAAATAGAACAATAAGGTACGGCCTATCTGGGATGTCAGAGAACCAAAAAATAATAAACATTCATCGACACTTACATCCTGTGTGTCACGGCTGTTTGTGACCGGTTTGCCCTCGTTGTTCTCTAGGATGATGTGCTTGAGAATGTTGTTGGGAACATCCTTGACAATGTGCCACTTGACAGAGAATTAACCATTCCACTTGTCTTGTTGCCAGTACTCTAGAGTTTTTTTCAAAATCAACAGGACCAGTCATTTCAGCAACACCAACAAATTGTCCACTTGTATTCACCTGAAAGTTTGTAAGAAAGGAGATTCAATTAGCCCAAGGAAATCAAACTGAACATTCATAAAAGCAATAGCAAGTGTTGAGAACGTCCTTACTGAGAAAAACAAGAATACAGGGCAACTAGAGCCCTTTGCCTAAGCTTCTTGATAAGCAACATCAAGCTTCTTATTTCCACTGGTGGTACTTGCCCACACATTGTATTTTATACTCTTATGGATATCATCCTCGCTGGATGGTTTGATATCATTCACACTTTATTACAGTTAAAAGTACTCTAAGCACTTTATTACAGTTTGTACTCGAAGCACAAGTATTAAAATTACTCCTACTCTTTATTACAGGTTATATTCCAAGCACAAGAGTAGTACCTGAAAGCAACAGAAGATGGTTGTCCCAGACCTCAACTGCACTCCACCTGCAGAAGATGAAATGGATGGTGATGATGCAGGAGTACAAATGGATGATGATGCAGGAGTACAAATGGATGAAGATGCAGGAGTACAACATGCAGGTACAACTACAGTGGCATTTCAAAAAAAATTCAGTTAATGATGGAAGAAAAAAATCAGTTAAATTACAGAATACAGTTTGATGATATGATGATATACTCATTTGAGCATTTGATGATATGATCATATCATCATTTGATCATTTGATGATATGATGATATAATCATTTGAGCATTTGATGATATGATCATATCATCATTTGATCATTTGCTTATGTTCATTTGACCATTTTTCCTTTGATCATTTGATCATTTTTCCTTTGTTGTATTTCTTTGTGCAGGTGTTGAGCAATCAGTTAAAAAAAGGGATGGCCTCGATGACAAGCAAAAGTATGCTGCTTATGTTGCAATGCACACACTTTGCATGAGTAGAGGGGGCAAATTCGAAAGAGATGACAGGAAAAAGATTGCCAGTTTCTTTGGAGTGGGTGTATGGAATGTACAAAGAGTTTGGAAGAAAGCAATGAAGCAAATTGCTAACGGTCAGGAGGTGGATGTTTCAAGTGAGAGAAAAGGGAACTGCGGAAGAAAGCCAAAAGACATCAATCTAGATCAAATACCTACCATCCCACTTAACAAGAGGTCTACTATCAGGTCACTTGCTTGGCAACTCGGGTGCAGCCCTACGACACTCCATCGGAATTTCATGCTGAAGTTGATAAAGAGGCATACAAACTGCTTGAAGCCAGCTCTGAATGAAAAGAACAAGAAGGATAGAATGAAATTTTGCTTGTCAATGCTCGATGAGACAACAACACAAACTGAAAGGCCAAAATTCAAGACCATGCACAACATTATTCATATTGACGAGAAATGGTTCTATATGACCAAGAAAAAAAGAAACTATTATCTGTTGTATGGGGAGGAAGAGCCTACAAGAACTCTGCAAAACGGCAGTTGTATTGGAAAGGTTATGTTCTTGACAGCTGTTGCTAGGCCGAGGTGGGATAATGAAGGAAATGTGACCTTCTCTGGAAAAATTGGAATTTGGCCGTTTGTGAAAGAAGTTCCGGCTCAGAGGAGAAGCGACAACAGGCCCAGAGGAACATTGGAGACAAAGTCTATAAAAGTCAACAGGCAAGTAATGAGAGAGTTCATGATAGAGAACCTACTGCCAGCAATACAAGCATCTTGGCCTGAGAATGATGTTGGGCAAACTATCTATATACAGCAAGACAACGCTAAACCTCATATCTTGCCTAACGACCCAGAATTTATAGCGGCTGTGGAAAGAACTGGACTCGATATCAGACTAATTCAACAACCTGCCAATAGCCCTGATCTGAATGGCCTTGACCTTGGGTTCTTCAACTCGTTGCAATCACTGACAGATTGTCTAAGCCCTAGAACGCTTAAGGATCTTATCAACGGTGTGCTAGATGAATTTAATAACTATGAGGTTTACAAGCTGAACAGAGTTTTCCTATCTCTACAAGCTTGCATGATTGAAATCTTGAACCATGCAGGGGGTAATGGGTATAAAATACCCCATGGGGACAAGGAAAGGCTAGAGAACATTGGGATGCTACCTCCAAGACTTACATGCCCTCAAGAGGTATATGCAAATGCCTTGCACAATCTTGGGATAATGGAGAGAGTTGCTTGTTAAGATGCTTGAGGAGTTGCTTGTCGAGATGCTTGTTGAGATGCTTGAGGAGTTGCTTGTCGAGATGCTTGTCAAGATTCTTGTTGATATGCTTGAGGAGTTGCTTGTCGAGATGCTTGTTGAGATGCTTGAGGAGTTGCTTGTCGAGACATGTTTGCAAAAGGCTTGTGTGGAGTATGAGATATGACTATGATCATTTGTATGAGAAGTGGCTATGATCATTTGTATGAGATGTGGCTATGATAATTTTGTAAACTCAACATTTGTACTATGATCATTTTGTGTACCTCCTTGTTGTGATAAGTTTTGAAAAAATATATTTGTATGATCATTTGAACTCCTCATGTGTATGATCATTTGTGTAATTCCTTGTTGTGATAAGTTTTCGTTTTTTTATTTGTATTGTACTCCTCATTTTGTACTCCTTGTTTTGAGTAAAGGAGAGGAGTATGAAAATTTTCTTATGAGAAGAGTAGGAGAGGAACAGTTTAAAGTTTCAGTGGTCAAAATAGAAGAAGAGAAGAGAAGTTAAAGCATGCACAACTTGCTTCCGCTACTGAAAATGAAGACAAAATTGCTGAACTAGTGTTGTGTGCAAGTGCAAGTACTCAAGTGCAAGCAAACAAAATTTCTTTGAGTAGCTATCATGTTCAGTAATCAAACTGAATCAAATGCATGCACATAATACTTGCATGTTCATAATACTTGCTGAAAAATTAAAGGAACAGTTTCATGTTCAGAATACTTGCATGTTCATAATAGTTGCTGAAAAATACTCCAAGCAAAATTACTTCAAGAAAAATTGACAAGTTAAATCTTGTTCAAAATTACTCTAAGCAACATACCCCAACCACATGCCTTATTTTAAACAGAACAAGGAATTCTAACTACCTTGTGTCAGGTGTCCTCCCACGATGTGGGTGATTCAGGGTGTCGTGCCGTTACTGCATTGCAAAGAGATCAAACACAAGACACCAAGTGTGGCTGAATAAACACTGAATATCCCTGTCAAAACAACAGACATCTGAAATTATGGTCGACAGGTAGACAGACAGAGATCAGTTGACCTTATCTAACCCCATCAATTCGAGATAACTCTGCGTGAACTCTAGAGGGCCCCGTCGCCCATGACTCCATGAGGCGATGACCAGTGACTTCAAGCATAGCACTAGCCCGGCGATAAATCCAATTGTCTGCAAGGATACAGTTAACACCAAATTCAGTCAAAAAAAACCTTTTACCCTCGCAGTGACACAGTGTACAGTGTTGCAGTTCACCAGGCAGAGACCTACTGCAGATATGTTCATCAGCGATATTCAGTAAACTAAATTCAGCGCGGGGGCAGCTGCGAGCTACACAAACTAAATTTTGTCTTCATAAACTAAATTTTGTCTTCATAAATTTTCTGAAGAAGCACATGTAGAACTAAGGCAAATTTTCTGAAGTTTAACAAAACTACAGAAGCTGCACCATGACAAAACTACAGAAGTTGGAGTACAAATTTTCTAAGGAGAGAAGAAGACAATTTACTCCAGGGCTACATGAGTAACATAAAAAGGTTTCTACTCCAACAAGAAAAATGCTACTGCTAATGCAAGCACAAGTTAACTGCTACTGCTAATGCAAGTTAAAGTTATACTCCTACATGAGTACACTTTACTGAAAAGAAGAGAGGAAGGGAGGACACTGCTGCAAAAGCACAAGTTACTGCTACTCTAGTTTTAAGCAAGCATCACTAGAGTACTCCAAATTATCAATTCAAGCTACTGCAGTGCAAGCTAGTGCTATACTCCTACTCCCTTTTGTCAGAAATCTACATCTAAGAAACAAATCTAAACATTTCAGATTTGGAGTAGTACAAAAATATGGATTAATTTCCTTTACATTTCACTTTTCACAGCTCCTCCAATATGGATTTTGTTGGCAGGTCACACAGGAAGCATAGTTCAACTAATGTTCACAGGAAGAACAAAATCCTCTGCACCACCGCAGATAAGTACACCAACATCTGCAGCTAAGAAGAACATCTGCAGCTAAGTACAACAACATTTACACGGCCGCCTCCTCATCCAGCGCACTCATTAACCCCTGTGAGTGGCCAGGCCATGGAGAGAGATTCCTTACCTTGAGGTTCAGCTCGTGAGTAGGCGCTCCACTGTCGCCCCGCCGCTGCAGCTCCGTTGCTCCGCCGCCGCGACGCTGCTC